GGAGGAGGATTTGGAAACTAATGAGGTTCTTACACAGTTCAACAAAGAAACTCGGCACGACTTTTGGTACTTGGATTAAATCTAGGATTAAACTTGACTTCTTTCCCACGTGCAAGACAATCAAAAGGGTTTCTTTCTACATCTGGATAATGGCAGGGGAGAAATTTTATGCAATTACCATGTATGTGGTTGACACATACATGTGTCAAGCATGTATGTGTCAATCACATACATGCTTGACACATGCCTGTCACATTAACAATTTTTTTTGGATGATGGATTGTACCAGAAGTTATCGTGATAAACGATAATATTGTTGTTTTGAGACCATTTTTAAGTAATATAACGGCAACAATGTGAGAACATACTCTCAAAGATCAATAAACTTTCAATTCTAATGAACATTTAACACCAGAACTGGACGACATTTTAAATATCCAAAATAGATAAACAAAACAACAAATAAAATGAATTATAAACTGTAAATAAACTGTAATTAAAAAACAAACATTATGTGATGTTAAAGCACCAGACTGAAGAAAGCAATGGAAATGATTAAGTTTGTTTTAATTTATCACGTGATTAATTGATTTAATGCTTACTGCGACAGGCCTACGTGGAAGTAAACATAATAAATGTAAAACGCATTCATTTGTATTTGGGTTTGAATCTCTGTTTGAATCCCAGTTGCATAAATTCTCCGTATCTCTCTGCGTTTTCTCTTGGTATTCCAGCTTACTGCTCCCTGCAAGCATGTGAGGATAAGCAGGTATAGAAAACAGCTTCTAACAGGTGTAAAACCCGCTCCCATGAGCTAATAACTCATCTTTTGTGTGAAGTTTGGCGCAGATGTGTAAGGATGAACACAAATCCCATATTCAAGAGCCCACATTTCGTCATTCACCGGTGCCGACAGCCGTGCCTCGGTGTAGGAAGTCGTTCTCTTTGTGCTCGCTTTGCTCTAACCAGATTTTGTGAGTGGGAATTTTGTGATGTGGAGGTACAGTATGTGTTCGGCTTTCTGTAGGTGGGAATCAAAAAGACAGAGTGTGTTGGTTTCCAGATTTCCTCTCTTCTGAGGAATAACCGCATCAAAGGGAATAATTCAAGAGGGAAAAAGAGAATAAATCACCTGTTGGCAACACAACCTGATCTCAGCTGAAATGCCTCTACATACCCCGTTCTGTTCTGCTGTAACCGAATATGACCCAGGATTGTTTTGTGTTTACCTCCGCCCCTCTTCTTTCCTTCCTTAGTCTGTCAGTTTAGGTCAAAGGTCAGAAATTTACATCTTTTGTTATATTTTCACTGATGGAGGTAGCCATGTTTTCACCCGATGGGCTGATGATGCGTTTTGGTCCATTCTGTACTGGGACCTACAGAGTAAACACAGGAAGCCTAACTTTACCTGAGTTGTTATTAATCATTGCGTTTGACTGGTGTAATTTTAGATAATACCACAATGTGTCACTGTTGGCTGTAATTTAAAAAAAAAAAACATAGAACAATGAAGTGAATCTGCATAATTTCGCACATGAAAAAAAGCCTTTTTAATTTGAACCAGAGTGTGTTGAAATCGATGTTCAGCTCTCAGTGGGAGAGCTGAACGCGACTTCTGAAGGACCAACATTTGTGCCCTCAACATTTCTCTCCAGAAGACTTTGAGTCATTTTTACGTGCAAAACTGACAAAGGCTCCAACAGGTGATTGTTACCTTAACGAGCTAAAAATAAAAGCCGTGCTGACAGTTTTTATCCACAAAGCACCTAAACTGCCGCTGGAATGAAAAACGCCGGAAGAAACATCAGCCAGCCAGCGGTGGAAGCTCTTTAAGTGCTAACAGAGCTAATTGCTATTGCTGCCGGTACTGAATATGAAACCACTGATCTGACCGGACCCTAAACAGCTGTTACCGGACCGGACACAGAGCTATAGAAGCACTTATCGGATCACACAATCCGACCAGAGGTAAGTATCATTCATTATTTCATTTACGAAGCTGAAGATGGCAGCAAACACCAGCTGCTACGGCCAACTCTGTTCTCTTCCTCCGTTTGGTCCTCCTTACCTTCGTTACATCTTGTGATTTCTACATTCACATCGATTTCAACACACTGCGGGTCAAATTAAAAAGGCTTAAAGACGTTATTCATCACTGTTTTGGCCGAACGGAGCTAGCATTAAACATTTGCCCAGAATGCATTGCAACATGAACAACATGGCAACGTTCATGCTACAATATTTTATTACAATTTATGAAAACTTAACAACCTACACTATTATTACTATATTGTTTTAACATCTGAAATCAAAATTTCTCAAATAAAGTTGATTGTTCCAACTAATCATGGATCCCTTTAAAACATTGTTTCTTTTTTTATTGAGTTTTTGGCCAAAGTTACGACGCATGGTCGTAACTTGCTTCTTTAAATGTTCAGATGATGAACTAAACAGAGTTTTCCAAAGCTTAAAATATTGTTTTCTGATGTAAATCTGCTTTAAACGTCTCCACAGCTTCCTCTGCTGCGTCCCCAAGTCTTCATGATGCCATTTGTTCCCTAACAAACCTTCACAGAACAGCTGGATTTATAATTAGACTAAACTGCATGCTCTGTTTGGACTCCATTTACCAGGTTAAAAGAAGTTCAATGCAAATATGCCTGACATACTGCTGTGATAGTTGTGAAAGTCTTTTCCCTTCAGTTTGTGCTGCAGGACTGTTTGATGGCGGATATAAAAAGAGCTGAGTGCAGCAGCACAGATTAAACAGTCTCACTTATTTCCTGTTTCTTGAGATGATGGGACATAGATTTATATATATCCTTCAAAAGGTAAGTTAAAAATGCCCTTCTTCAGATAAAAAGAAGCACTTTTCTGACTGTACAGACTAAAATTAGACTAAAGCAAATTTTTTTAAGCAAGAAGAGCTTTTCTGAAATCCAAACAGGCTTTTATCAGTGCCTGAAACGGAGCTCTTTGTAAGATAAAAACAGCGCCGCCGCCTCTGTAACCCCCAACCCTTCGGCTGTGGGATCTCCTTGCGTGGCATTTTAAGGGCTCAGCAGTTCTCATGCGCGATATTGATGAGAAATCAAATGATGGTGTCATCTGTACCGTAGCAGTGATGGATTATGCAGAGCGAGCTCTCCGCTAAGCAGCCGGCTTAAATTAAATACTGTTTCCGGCGAGATGAAGAGCCACCGGCTGACGCTGGAGTCCTCTCCACTCCGACCACTTTTATTGGCAAATCATAGTGATGAACCTTAATATGCATCTTTGGGCTTACATGCTGAGTTGAACACAGACTGGGAGATATAGCCCAGAGAAACATTCATAAGGTGTGCAGAGGAACAGAAAATGAAGTGTCAGAAAGTGGCATTTAGAAACATTTGTCTCTATAATGCTGAGAAGATGTTTCCCAGGATTGTTTCCTGTTGAGAGACTGCGTACACAAAACACAGTCAAGGTGTGTAACAGATTTCAAACAGATGAAAATGCCTTTCTTCTGCTGGCGTCTGCTTGTGCAGTGGAGTGAAATTATGCCAAATGACACCATCAATCTCAGAGTTTATTCTCTCAGCCAAGAAATCCGGAAATTGCTTTATAGCTCTCCCTTCCACCCAACGGTGACTTTTAATGGCCCAATAGGCACTTCACCTCATTTGGCTCTTTAGTCTTTGCATTTCTCAGCAATTAATGTAATCATATCGTCATCCTTGATCTGGGAGGAATATAAAGTGTAAAGACACTATCTGCATTTCTATTAACCTAAAAATTGACATTTTTAAAATAAATTCACTTAACTGAATTTCATTAAGAAGGTTTTTTGTTGTTTTTATTTCACAAACTGCACTGGAAACACTTCTTTCCCATCACCAGAGGCACATAATCAACAACAGAATATTACTACTGGCAGAAATGACAAAGACGAAGACAGGAAGTGTTATGAGGATGATGGCTGCATGTTTTTAAATTACTTATCACATGAACTTATTCACATGTCATTTTAATTGCATTTCTTTTCAATTGAAACACAGCAAGTGCGAAATTGTGTTTGGAATATCAACAAAGTTTTGAGCACATTTGTAACGGAAAAGTAGTTTACCGCTAGGGAAAATCCACAGACTTTATCCTAAACGATTTAATCCAGTGTAACATCAGTGAATATCTTACAATCACGTGATATTTCAAACTGTGATATTGGTCTTCTGTTGAGGACTAATAGGCACCAACAAAAATACAAGGCACTCCTGGTTTGATTGCCTTATAAATGCCAGCCAATAGTGTGTCAAAGAACATAGCACCTACATATATTAGCTACACAAACTATATTGTCTTCAAATATTTAATTTGTGCTTTGTGGCAAAATCTGCAACTAGACAGAGCCAAACAAAATGGCTGAAAACCAAATTACAGCATAAGGGTTACAGATCGTTATTGATTAGTTTTTTGTTTAAAATATCTTAAATACATCCAAACCTTTTATTTTTTTATCTAGTGTTTACTACATTATGTTGTTTTTGTATTTTTACGCAGCTATGAGCCACAGTGGCAAAACCTTAAACTGCTGCTACGCCAGTTACTCAACAGGTCGTTGCTAGGCAACCAAAGATTGAGTGAGTTGCTAGGTAACCAAAGAGTGAGTGAGTTAGTTAAAACCACCAACTTTGCTTAGCTGACTCCGAGAACCGTTGAGCAGCTAAAACCTCTTTTGCCTACAGCGAAATTATTGAAAATTCCACATATTTCAATATCCGTTGATATTGATCATTTGTCTGTCGCAATATATACTTACTGATTTATTGTAGACAGGTTTCCGACAAAAAATTTGGAGTTATTTCCACACAAAATCCATAAATACTGATGTGAAATGATGATGATAAAGACTGTTATTCCTTGAACAAAGTTATCATTTCAAGAATCTAAATTCAAAATATATATATATTAAAAATTATTTTACTTTATGCTCAAAGTAGAAGTAACTATGTGGTTTTAAAGAGCTGATCCATCCATCATCTATTCCCATTTCTTCAGAGGTGGATTAGTGCTCAAAAACTATATATTTAAAAAAAAATCCAAGAAAATCAGGAGAATTATGACATTTTTTCTCCTTAGTGAGTTTGAGCTCAGTAATGTCAAACAGTCATTTTGAGGCGCTATAGCCAGTGTCTGTATTCCTATGGCCTCAATCACCATGAAAACATCCTTCGTTGGTCCTCCTTTGATGGGATTAGTGTGCAGCTGTGGGCAGGAATTTGGAAAACTCCATTTTTGTTACATTGTCTTTGTTTGCATGACTTGATTCTGGAAGCTTAAAGGAAAATAATAGACAAAATCACCTTGAAACATGTACAAAATGATTCATGACCAAACCTGACGCCTTCTTCCTGCGGCACCCAAACAAACGGTGAAAATGTTCAACAGTGATAACGACCAGAAAACTCAGACATAACTGTCGGCTTCAGCATAAAGTTATAAAATTTGGTGTCCTAGTTTCACTGTTATCCAAAAACTACTTATGAAAAGTATTTTTTGATAAAACCATGGCCCTCCTCAGCCGTTCTTACTAACCCTCCCGCCCTGCTCTTACCATGTCGCCCAGTGTTTTTCTCTTTTCAAATGAAATTATTTTCTTTTGTGCTCTCGTAATATATTCATAGCACAGGAAAACAAGCAGAGGATCAAGATCAAGCAGCTCAGAAAATATCAAATAGAATATATTCATGGGGCGTCATGGTTTGGTTTCTCTCTCTGTTGGGCTCACGGAAAAAGCATAAAGCATGTTTTATATGCGAGATCCACACAAACCGCGCTCAGGGGCAAGTTATATGTTACAAAAGCACAACAACATGCTGATTTTACTGATTTGTGTTATTTCTATTTGTAAAAACCTGAACTTTATAAATCAAAACACTGCAATATACTTTCTTTCTGAAATAATTTCACAAAGAAAAGCTTCAGTTTAAAGTCAACTCAGCTTTTAGACGTCTCTGCTTCAAAATAAGCAGACGTTTAAATAATTTCATACAAAACTGGAAGAATCATTTTTATTTTGGGGGGAAATAACTAAAAAAAGAGAAAGCAATCTGCTGTGTCTCCAGTTCCTTCCAGCCTCAGAGGAGTGCATAAAGATTTGTTTGTTCCTGCAGCCAAAAAAACAAGCTTTTGTTGTACCGCGGCTGGAGCTGATAGACAGCGTTTCAACATTTCTGGATGCGCAGAACAAAATATGGTGGCCTGTGAGGCAGTTGCTCTATTCAAGATTGAAGGCTTTTCTCTGACGCTGAGAGTGCAGCTTAGAGACTGCAAACTTGCAGAAAGCTGTTGACATTTTTCTAAAGATTTTCACACAACAGCTCTTAGTTTGGGCTCCATTCAACTTCATGCAGGCACTTTCAAAAAGTTTAGCGCTATGGAGGCAGAGGCATATTATTTCTGTCGTATAAATAAATCCTCACAGGCCCGGAGGTGGGTAAAAATAAACAGCGTTGTGCAACAACAGGTTCTGGTGTGGCGATGAATACTTATTAATAATGGCTGAAGGCATTTAAAATACTTTGATCAACAAACTCAAAAGCTATTAACACTAGCATAGGGTGAAACGATGACAAAAACTGACAACTGCTAAAAATAAAACAATAAGAATTATAAATAGCACAAACAAAATTACCCAGTGATGTCACAAGTCAGTATGAACTGTGAATGTTGAGAAGCCAAATTTATTTAAAGGGAATTTAACAATTAGTCCAAGTTAGTTTTCAACTAATATAGTTGTGTTTTTAGCCATGATTTGTACTGAGCTGAGTTTCAAAATGAGGCCAAATTAGCTGTAATCTAGGATGCAGGTTATTGATCAATGCATTAATCTAAAGTTGATTGATCTAATCTTTTGGTTAACATCCGACTGTCTTTCCACAACATAAAGTACTAAATTTATCATAATATGCTTAATTTAAAAAGTATATAGTTAATATTTAACATTATCTTGCATCAGTTGTATTAAATACTTACTGAATAAACAGAAAACTGTGCTTCTCTTACATTATTAAACTCATACATATTTATAAAATATAACAAAACAGGAACCTTTAAGGTTGCTGAACAGAAAAATAAAATATGAAAAGAATAAAATATGTGAAACACTTACAGAGATGTTCATACAGAAGAACCGTCTGTAGTTGCGCTTGAAGAAATAAAACTTTTCTCCGTGAAGTGCTTTAACTCACGACAGCCCTCAAAAACAACTTTGTTTATCGGCTTCATGTTTTTCTTTTTCCACGTCATGCTGTTCGTCTGAATGAGCGATATTAAGGTCAAACTTAAGGAGCTTGTCGAGTGTTTATATTTCAAATCAGGACCGCACAATGTGTAGTTTACATCCCACATCGGACTCTGCGTGGACCGTTTCTCTTTCCAGTTCAGAAAGAGCTCCGCCATTTTTGCTCCTTGCTCCGCTAAAGGGTGACCAACGGCGCCCTCTGCTGGGTGGCGGCCAAACTACAACAGAAAGAAAAGGTCCAAGCGGACGTTATTAGCTAACTGAGTGGAACTAATTTTAATAGTAGAGGACCCAAATATTGTACTCAAGTAAAAGTAGCACTACTTAAGCATATTTCTATTCAAGTAAAAGAAAAAGTAGCCGTCCAAGAAATTACTCAAAAAGTATAAAAAGTCTACTCAGGTACGTAACCGATGAGATTATCAATCATTTAATATTTAAAAATTACATAATCAGATTAACCAAAACATAAAGTTAAGTGGAAATTTTGATATTTTAAGGACCAAAATTACAATAATTCAAAAAAGTAATAAGTAATTTTCCCCATCAGTGTCTTTTAATATAAACAGTATAAAACTAACAAAAACTAAAGGTCTGTGTATGGTGGATTTTTGTTAAAATATGCTTGTTCTTCATCCAGTGGGTAGAGAATCCAGAAATTTTACTCAAGAATAATAAAATTTCTCAAGTAAAAGTAAAAAGTTCAGGGTAATAAAAAATACTCCTAGAAGTTTTTTTTGTTGTTTTTTTAAAGTGTATTATTATCCTGGCGGGCCACCAGGCTTTACTTGTGAATGCTAAGCCCCACCAGGCTTAGCATTGTTTATTTACTTTAGGTTGGGTTTTTTTTATTGTTGCCTTTTTTAAGGCTTTATAGTTGGTGTTAAGGTACTAATCTTCCAGTCTTCCAAAATGCATAACTATCAAGTGATATTTTCAAATTTGATAGTTTAAATTCTTTAAATTGTCAGTTAAAGTTGACAGTTTAAATATTTTTAAACATGGTGGCCAGCTGGATGGCTGCCCTGGCGCCCCAAGCATCGGGCTTAGCAAGGGGAAACACTGTCATGTGTATTACTATTGGTATAAAAAATAGTCCTAGTCCTAGTTTCATTGTCAATGTTATCAAATCAAAATTCAACAATTTAAACATTACAATTGTTGAATTTTTACATTAAAAGTAAAAAAAAAAAGTGGCAGTGGTACTGGTCTTTCTTTATAAATATTAAAAAATTATTGACTTAAATCAAGCTCCTATATCTTGCTAATAAGCTACTTGAAAGTTTTGTTTTATCTCAAGTGTACTATGATATTTGGACTAGAAACCAGACCAAACGTACTTGATAGTATTTGGGACAAATACTGAAACTTTACAAGTTTCAGCAAATAACACATCCAATGTAAAGCAATGGACACCAAAAAGCATCAGTGTTCTTCCCCAGAGCAGATCCTCGGGTTTAACCTGGAAGATTGTTTATCCTATCCAGTCTAATGGGATACAGAGGTATGTTTGTCACGGATTACAGAAAATCCCACCTAATCGTCTTCCATAAATGTCAGATAAAACCGGCGCCAAGACTGCAGAGAAAGGCTCAGCAGGGAGTCCGGTAGAAAAACCGAGCATGCAGAGCAAAAAGGTTACACGTTTTACGGGGCTCCCCGCTTTCACCCGCTCGACATTTCGTTCTGATGATGACTTGAACGTGAGCATAATGTCAAAGCTCTTCTGGTCTGGCTACAACACAACCACTGGTGTTTTTTTTGTGTGTTTTTTTTACTTATTTAGTCAGTGTTAAACTTTTCCTTTTACAAATAATGCAGAAAAGGAAAAACATACAACAGAGTTGGATTTTAAAAGTAATCTTGTCCACCTGAATTTATACGACTGCACATCGCTGCACAGTTTTAAGACTCGCCTGCCTTCATGTTTTTCCCACTGAGCGTCTCAGGCGCTCTTGGGTGCCTCATGAAAGCTTTTGCATAGATTCTTAAAGCACTGAGCCAAATAAAAAAGCTTTCTGAGCCAACCTTTTGTCCTGCAGGATTTAAAAGAAAATCCTGCTTGCTGGTGCTCTTGCAGCTGTGCTGTGGCAGAGGGACTTTCTGTGCTTTCTCCAGGACACTCGGGTCAAAACAGAAATCTAAACTCAACTTCTTCAGCAGCTACATCTACTGAAGACAAAAGAAATCGCTTAAGTCAATCTGAAATGCAACAGAAATTTGAGATTCTTCAAAAATATCTCAACCCACAGAGACGCTTTTTATGTAGAGTGGTTCAGTTTCTTACATGAATCACCTTAAAAGCCATACAGAATCATTAACCTTACCAAAAAGGTTTAATGCTATACAGCGAGTTGGTGAAATCAATTGACAGCTGTAGGAAAACTACAGTGGAGTGACGACAAAGTCAAGCTTCTATGTTTAATACTGGATTATAAAACTAAAACTACAAATGGAACATTTAATCTGTTATAAATGATGACTATGACAACTTTGAGGTTCTAATTAGGGTTAGAGGTTGGACTAATACATCAGCGTTTTCAGAAAAGAGGCGTTTTTGCTTTTCACATTAATACATAAGGGGACATTTTCATGTTTAAAAGAAAAATAAAACACTCAGGGCTCCCTAAAATGCAGTTTCTGTATGGAAGAGAGGCTCAAACGGCTAAAACGACGTTTCCATTTGGACGGTGCCGTGTTTGCTCTGGATTTTGTTTAGAATACATATGGACAAAAATGGTAGTATGATGTTCCTTCCACTTCAAAATTATGTACAACTTTGTGTTGGTTTCCCACATAAAATCCCAGAAAAACCCATTGAAGTGTATGGTTGTGATTTGAACATTCGTGAAAATGTTCAAGGTGTATGGATACTTTTATTACGTCTTACATTTTGTAAAAAATTTGTTTTTTACATATTTGTTAAAAAACATTCTGCACCTTTAAATGTTGCGTCCTTCTCAGTTAGAGACTTCCTATTGCTGTTGACTGAACACCATGTTTTGTAAAGTTCAGTATCTGACGACCAGCTGGGTCGTGTACTTCCACACATTCAAGCATTTGCAAGGTGAAGCTCATTACTGTTAATAACCTGAAATAAGAGGCTAACAATTCACCCGACTACGCGACTTCTTGAAGCACACTTAAGAAGACTGAACCTCTGTCGCTGTAATCGATGGTCCTCACTAACTGATCCTCAAGGTGAGTAACGGCAGCCTCTCCTTGCTGTGCTGTTTCTCACTCCATCCCATAATAGCCCCTTTGAGAGCCATTATGGCATCTGGGGAAGGTAAATCTCTCATCTTGGTGTCACTTATGGAAGTAGGAGTGGCATTTCATGGCCCCTGGACAGAAGTTGGTTGTCTGTGCAGAATACTTACAGAATAACGAATGGCAAAAGGTTACGTAACGGTAATAATCCCACATTTTTTCCTGCACTGAGGCCAGCAGAAAGTGTTAAGTTTAATTAACTACAGTGAAAGGCCTGTCAGCTGCTGTAGTTATCGTTTCAAACCCTGTGTCCCGTTTGGCTGATGTGTCAGCCACAGAGAGGGCGGATGATCCGAAATGTTCTGCTTTATTCTCCTTAGAGGCCTAATCTGAGCTGGGAGGAACCACCCCCACCAGCAGAAACGGATGTTGGAAGGTAGATGCGTTTGAAGTGTAAATATCCCACAGGTCAACAGACTGCAGCTGAGAAGGCAGATGGCAACATACTTTTATCCATGCTAAACTACTGTGATTTTTTTCACAGTAGTTTAGTTTTAGTTCAGCAGATATGAGCAACTCTTATTTTGGTCATCTAGTGACTTTAAAATTCTTCTATTTAGGCCCGTCAGAATAGCAAATTTTGCTGGACCATAAATTGTCCCAGGACTTAAGGTAAACGATAAAATTGCTGTTTTGAGACCATTTTCAAGTACTATAATAGTATAATTTAAGACTGGAAGTGGAAGACATCTGAAATACCAAAGACTTCCTGGGTAGTTTACCTGTTAATGCATAATTATTTACTTGGTAAGGTACTTTCATTTCATTGTACTTACTGGATATTTCTCAAGAATTTACTTTTGGTAAAACCTGGCTCCGTTACAAGAGGGCACTTTTCTGCGGCCTTGTATCACCGGGTATTTATAAAAACAAATTAATTAATTAATTAATTCTGCCATACTGTTTTAAAAAATAATATCATGCACACGGGTCAGTTTCAGAAAAGTTTTCCTCCCACAGACCAGCACAAATCCGCCTCTCAGCGTTGCTTTAAACAGCCAGACCCATAGGGGGCAGTGTAGCGCAAAGCTAAATCCTGTCAGCCAATCAGATTGCTCCAAAGCAACTATGACTTCCAGTCTGGAATGGGCTCTTTGCACCTCAGCTTCCGCGTTCGGGGTAAAGCGGCTCGATTATTTCCGATCCAATACAAATATCATTTACATTAGGTGCTTGCAGGGCTTGGCCAAGGTTTGTACATCGATC